TTAAGGAAAGAAAAGCCCATGCTAACCCCAGATATTACAATTATGTCTGTGGGAACTGAAATAACATATGGTAACGCTATGGTGCCTGATGATGGTTGGGAAACATTTCTGAATAACAAGTGGGATAGAAAGATAGTAACAGAGGAGACAAGCAAGTTTCCTGAACTCAGTCTGCAGGTACATTTATGGGTTGACATCAGATCATATGTTACTTCAGTTTCAATTACCAAGATTAAATTTGAATTCTATAACTTGAAAATCAAGTATGGTTTAAAAATAGTTTGTAAGCTGAAACATAACTTGAGCAACTGATGTCTATAAAAGCAACTTCTTTTGATCCGTGCAGTCAGAAACAGAGCAGCGACCACACAAGGTCAGTTTCTATGTTCAGAAAGAGAAAGCTCAAGATATAATGAAAACTCTTTCCAAGCGCTTGGAAGAACGTGGGGTATGATACAAATTCTCACTTCAGATTTGGCATCAATATGACTAGGTTCATATAGGAAGATGAAATCATGTCGTTCGTGCTATGATTCCAGTGAACACAATTATTTAGATTCATATTGAGCTTCATTTCTTTTTTATCTCATTTATTTTCTGTCGTGATCATCAGCTGGATGTCAAAATAATTTACAGTGGAGGGATGGATCTAGATATATTACCACAAGGTGCTGGCAAAGGACAAGCACTTGCATATCTGCTTAAGAAACTGAAGAGCGAGGGAAAATTACCAAGCAACACCCTTGCCTGCGGTGACTCCGGGAATGACGCTGAATTATTCAGTATCCCAGATGTGTATGGTGTAATGGTTGGTGGTTCAGCTATTATCCAACATATCTTTATAATCGGGTAATATGTTCTCATGTTTGTGATGATAAGTACTCTGAAAATGTACAGTCACTTTACAGGTAGCTAATGCACAGGAGGAATTACTGCAGTGGCATGCTGCAAATGCAAAAAATAATCCCAAAGTAATTCATGCATCAGAGAGGTGTGCCGCCGGTATCATACAAGCCATTGGTCATTTCAAACTAGGTCCAAGTACCTCCCCAAGAGACGTTACGGATTTGTCAGATTGCAAGATGGACAACTTTGTTCCTGCCTATGAAGTTGTCAAATTTTACCTGTTTTTTGAGAAATGGAGGCGTGGAGAAATTGAGCATTCTGAGCATTATCTGTCAAACCTGAAAGCAGTGTGTGTATGTTTATTACCCTATACCTACTGTAATTTCTTGTCTTATGTGTAGTGATGTGTATTTCGTATTTTCGTTTATGAATTTAACTGTGCATTCTAAAGAATTTTTCCTCCCCAAGTCTGGACAGAATATAAGCACTATTTTGTGTTTTTTTACGTATAACTTCAATTGAGGTATCCTCCTTGTGTTGCTGAACTCTCTCCACCATCATAAAGAGAATCTTGACTCTCTCCACCACCATAAAGAGAAGCCTGTATAGTTCTATTTGTGGTAGCTACATATATGAACTTAAAGTAACAAACTATAAAGTAGTATTACATGCTCAATTAAAAAGAAGTGATATCCTATACGTTCCATGTACTCTCTCTGGTTTTTGTTTTTATGGTTGAGTGGGATGCTGAAGGTGAGAGCTGGGTTTAATTGAGGCCATTGCTTCTCATTGTGGCTGGAGATCCTTATTTTTTTTTACTCTTCTGTTGCTGCAGAGACCATCTGGTACTTTTGTTCACCCATCTGGTGTTGAGAAATCCCTTCAGGAATGTGTAACTTCATTCGGAACATGTCATGCTGACAAACAGGGGAAACAATATCGTGTTTGGGTCGATCAAGTTTTACCTTCACAGGTTGGTTCAGACTCATGGTTAGTGAGTTTCAAGAGGTGGGAGCTCTCTGGTGAGTATATGTTACCTCATGAGCCGATCTTTCATTTTGCTCTCAACTTTGTACATGCTTCTAAATGTCACTGTGTTTCTCTTCACTTTTTTTACAATCTATCACATGCTTTTCCCACACTGTGCCTTCGACGTAATACTTCCAACCTCATTTACTAAATTCTGGCCCTCCCTCGGTGTCTTTGTGTGACTCAAACACCCTTTTATTGGATCTGCTCTCCATCTTAATGAAGATATGTTTTTCTTCCTTCCATGGTAGTGAAGTAATTTTGTGAAGAGGCTTAAGGAGGTACCCAAGACTCTGTAGTTCATTAATATAACTTGGTATTAGATCTGCTTACATTTCAAATTCACATCTTAAACGGAGATGGGGTAAAGAGATATTACTTATGTTGTTGAAGTAGAAATCTTTTGGGACTGAGGCCTAGTTGTTATTTTTGAAATAGAAATCTTTTGTTCATTTCAAGCATGTAAACTTCATTTGACGTCAGGATCTGTACATGTTGATGTTGAAGCTGTATTCCAGCACCAGAGACGACTATTAGGAAATAGCTGATGCCCGAAGCCATTCTTAAATATGCCTTAAATAAGATAATTATTTTGGCTCATTCCGCTGGATTGCTTTCTCTTTGCTATCTCAATTATACAGCAGAATTACTTGCACAGTCCTGCAATCACCACCATCATAATCTACCAACCATACACGGAATCATCTGTTCCTTATCCTACGGAACTTCTAGAGCATACACCAAATCCACTGTTAAGCCTCTACAAAACCTCTTCAAGCTTCAACTGCGGATATTGGTAGTTGAAGCATAGACAGTCGAGCATAGTAATGAGTCAAGCATCTAGCTTTTTCAGTTGTGAGCTTGTGTGAGGTTTAGGTGCTACAATTGTAATATTTGAGCCCCTAATCATTGGATTACAGTGCCTACACAGCTTTGGTCTGCTAAGAAAGTCTAACCAGAATAGTCTTACCATTGAATAGGCTCCCTATTTTCCTATCTGATTTCACCGTAGGTAGTCAAGTTTAGGTAAAGTATCATGCGTATTCCTGCTTCTGATGGGATGTGAGATGAGTTCATGTAGTGTAGCTTCAGATATTTCATGCCATTATACTCCTTTCATAAGGTCGTTAATGGTCGGTCAGTATTGGATCAGCACAGTAGCAGAGCAGCTCCATTTGCTAGCTGCTTGTCTTTACCTGCAACAAATGGACTTAACTGTTAGTCTCTGAAGGAAAAGGGGGGCTGTCATAAGTAACCACCAATTTGTCGCAAGCAGGACTAATCAATGCTTATGCAATACTTGCATTTTCGTTCTCATATTTTTTCTTATTGTTTTCGCGATTTCTGTCTAACAAATTGCTAATTCGTGCAGGTGAAGACATGCGATGCTGCATAACCACAGTCCTATTAAGTTCAAAGGTAAAATTTCAACATTACAGACCGAAAGGAACATAAAAATCATACAACTGAAACCTGTTGTAATCTCCTCTTTGCTCGCAGAATAAGACTGTTGCAGACGGGCTCACTTGGACTCACGTACATCAGACATGGCTGCACGGTGATGCATCAAGTGACTCCGCAACCTGGTTCTTTTAGATTGCCATCTCAGTGTATTAACTCTGAAAATTCAGCACCCTTTTACCAGTTCACACCCAGAATAAACACAATATCAAACTATAGTTGATAATCAATGTATTACCATCTAAACCAGTGAAGATGGCTTTATCTTTTGTGTAGTATAAAGAATTATATTAGTATCTGTAGTTGTTCTTGTATTTGATTCAGAATTCAAGATGAGGTTGTTGCAAATTACTGCATATTTAAGTTTACAAAATCAAGAACATTGAAATAACTACTGAACTTCATCCACTACAACATTAAAGTCACAAAACTATATTTTCCGAGTGGGATTTGGGAAGAGTAGGATATACTAAGACCTTATCTCTATTTTTGTGGGGAAGAGGTTATTTTTAATTGACACTCGGCTCAAAAAACCGTAATCAAAATAGGTTTGGAAGAAAAATAATGATGTCACAATAAAAAGATACACGGAGCAAATGAAGCAACATGTAATAGTGAAAAATGAAAAATAAGATATTACTCGACGATTAGTTGATATTACAAATATAGAGTAGAGGAGATAGATCCCTACCTTTTTCATTTAAAAATGTAGCAATACTTAGACTACATATTACCCTTATTTCAGTCGTGAAATTACACAATTTCTATTTAGGGTCATGTTCACAATAAGTTAAAGAGGTGACATGTCTAATCTAATTATCTCACCTCTCCCCCAAGTTTTTCTTTGGCCTACTTTTGCTTCTCCTAAAACTTGTTATAGCTAACTCAATTCTTCTCAAGTCTGAACTATATCAGTCTCGTTTTCCTCATTTTATCGGTCATGGAGGTCATTCCCACCTTGTATTGCATAACTTCGTTCCTAATTTTATTTCTCCTTAATTATGTGCTCATACATCTATCTGAGTATCTCATTTTCGCAACATTTTTCTTTTGAGCATGTACATTCTTGACTAACAAGCAATTTTCTCCATACATCAATATGAATCTAACAACTACTTTGTAGAACTTACCTTTAAGCCTTGGTGTGACACATACTTATCACACAATTTTTCAGACGCGAGTCTTTATTTCACTCATCCCGATCTAATATGACGTGTGACTTCACGTCCCGGAGCGGTTGAAAAATTTGACTTTTATGTATTTGGTTTGGATTGTAAATCTAAAATAATCCTAACACAATTGGTTTAGTTTGATATTTAAAAAATCCTAAGCAACCCGCACTAAGTACATGGTACACCCTTAAGTACTCAAGCTACTCTCTATTTTAGCCCTGCTTAACCTAAAATCTTTAGATTCTAAGTTTTGTCTCCCAGCATTTAACCTATCGCTAAGTACTCTATCGCGCATCTGAAATTTCCCTAATCACGATTGATATAAAAGCACGTGTAAATTCAGGACATTCGAGAAAAGCAAATAAATAAATAAAAATAACACGTTAAAAGATCAAGCACTATCATATAGTGTTGTTCCTTTTGTTAATCCAAATATTTTGGTTGTTACAAGATTTCATCACCAAATTTTTCCATATTTAATATCAACAACATTTACCAAATTTATTTAGTTAAGGCACTAATCTTTTCAAGGCACTCACTAGCAACCCCTTGAATCCAATTATCAAATTGCCTAAATTCAGTATCCTCTCCATATATTGAAATAGCACATTCATTGCAAGTATCAATATCTGTTGTCATTGCACTAATATCCAAATTTGCTTTATAATAATCTTTTGCTTTCACATCTTCTTCAGCTTTCTTCATCGCATCTACAGCATCTTGATACACTGATTTACATGTCTCTAGACAATTCGTCGCGTAAATATCAGTATCTGGTTCCTCTAGACGTTGTTCAATCACATTCGCGATAAATTCTTCTGTCTTTGTCATCGTTGCTTCCATCATCGAGTTGATAAATACGGATACATCTCTAGTATTTGGGACGGTAGGTATATTTTTCGGAATTTCAATAGTTGCCTTAGGGGCTACATACGAGGACGAGGACGAGGATGAGGATGGTTTAATTGGTGCATGGGAAGGTGCATGGGTTTTAGGTTGAATATTATATGCCTTAGAAGGAATTGTTGTAAGGAATAAAGAAATGGTAAATACAATAATAATTTTGTTAAAAAATGCCATTGTCTTTCTTTTTAATTTATTAAAAAGAAAGATAATGGGGGAAAGAAAGATGTGAAATTGTGGAAATTCATTGGGAGTGTATTTATAGATAAAATGTGTTAATTTGTTTTATTGGCTATGCTTAAATATAGATTTTCAAGTGATTAATATTAAACTCCATTTGACAAAACTTGTTTATTATATATAGGATGATAGATTTTTTTTTCTTTGCCACACAAACTCAACCACTCACACAATATTGAATCAAATTAATTAATGGTGTTCATTATATATATACCAGTGTAGTTTTGGTCCTTTAAATTTTGGAAAAATTATCAAAATGTACCTCTTATTTTATCAATATAATCTCTAAAATTTCCTATTATTTTAAAAAAAATCAAAAATCTCCCTTCGAATACATCACTTCCCTCTCGCTAATAAATGCCTATTCCTCTCCTCTCGGATGCATCCATCTGCTACTATTTTTGTGCAATAAGTGATATGTTTGGTTTATAAATTATATAATGTATATGTTGTGCCTAGTGTAGTTTTACTTAATACGATTTGCTAGACGTTTTTTGGTTAAATCTTTCGCCTCATATCTAATATACATAGTGTGTTAAAATATTTTTGTTCGAAAACCAAATGTGTTACGAAATAGATATTGAACCTAACTCAATTTTTATAAAAACTAGTTTCAAAAAGTAAGAATTATCTTAGAATATTCAAGGAAACAATTTTGCTTGCCTCCTATCAAAACTATTTGAGACATAATATTTAAGAAATTAACATCTAAATATATGTTATATATTGAAGCAGTTGTACTGGAATCACTTTTTTTTTTTAAAAAAACTATATTATCATGTGACGGTAGGGGTGGGTGTGGTATGATATAGTACGATATTTGAAACTTTGATATCGTAATTTTCATAGTTGTGTGTTAAAAACTATTACTATATCATTACCATATCAAGTTTCATAGTTGTGTGTTAAAAACTATTACTATATCATTACCATATCAAGTTAATTCGGTATGATTCGGTTGTTTGAAGTTCAATTTTGGTATTTTGCGGTATGGTAAATTGGTAATCATAGTTTGTTCAATTTTGACTAAAATATACTTGTATGATAGAGTATTATGACTTCGACAAATCCAAAAAAATCTCAATTATATCATATAACACATTATACAAGTAGAAATGTATTTAAAAGAAAGTACAAATACAACAAGACTAGGTATTGGTGAATATAAGTTAAATCGTTTCAAAATATTGCTTGTTTGACGTGTAAAATATGCTCCAACAAACGTTTTAAAATTAAAATTGCTAAAAACATATATAATACAGCACAAATTACTATATTGTTACCAACAAAACTGTTTCATTGAACCATTTTTTCCTTTTAACAATAAAACCCAACACGTTATCAAAATTAGAACATTAATTAAAAAATCAAATTATCCAGGTTATCATAATTATAATTTAATTCCACCCAAACAACCTTAATAAATTGAAAAGCTTTAACTTTTATGCATTGAGGATACAACAGTATTTTTTTACGTTATCAAGTCACTCAAAATATAATTACAATTAATATCATTAAAAAAAAAGACAGTGAATGTTACAATGAAACAAAACATACTACTAGTGTATAAGCAATCTTTTTTTTTATTATTACTGTCAGCGTATATAAGTTAATTTATTTTTTTTAACTGCTAAAGCCCACAATCTTTTCCATGGCATCGACAGTAACTTTTCCTGCCCAATCATCAAATTTAATAAATTCTTGATCATCACCATAAATTTCTTTAACACAATCCATGCAAGTTTCTAAATCAGTAGACAATGCACTAAGGTCAACATTTGCACTATAATAAGCTCCACTATCAACATCTACCATTGTTTTTTTCATCGCATCGACTGCGTTTTCGTACACTTCTTTGCATACTAAAAGACAATCTTTAACAAATGCGTCAGCTGCGGGATCAATTAGACGTTTTTCAACAACATTATTGAGAAATTGCTCCGTCTTTGTAACGGTGGTTTCCATAAGTGAGTCAACGTAATTGTTGACCGACTCTTTGTTGCCTAATTGAACGTTGCCATTTGGCATTTCAAGATTTAACGATGATGATGGTGATGGTGATGGTGATGGTGAGCTGTTTGGCGATGAGGATATGTAGGAAATACCTATTGGGGAGGGGGTAGGGGAGGGGGTGGGGGAAGCAATGTTGAATTGAAAAACAAGAAAAGAAAGGGAAATGACAAGTACGACTTGGTTGTGGAGAGCCATTTTTTTTTTTCCTTTTTCTTCTTTTATTGATTCACAAGGAAGAAAAAGGAAAAAAATGATAATTTATTATTATGAGGGAAAGATGAAATGATTTAACTAGGGTTGTATTTATATTTAGGAAGAATGAGAAGTTTATATGGAGATCCAAGAAAATAGATTGTCTAAAGGTGAATATTTTGGCCTTATTACAAGGCAAGTGTAGGTTATAGGTCAAGTTGTTTGTTAGAATTTTGAAATTTAGTGTTATAGTACTCTACAATTTACATGTGTCAAAACTTCCCCAATTTCATTTTATTTGTCTAGAATATTATAACTAGCTTAATTCCCTTTTTTAACATTTCAGTTTCTTCGGTTAACTTTTTTGATAAGTTAAAAATGAATTTTAGATAAGTAAATAGTTTTATATGAAATTCAGAAAACATTCATATCTCAAGTGTTGAAAGCTACTGCTAAGAAATCCTATCTAGAAAGGATAGACAATTGAGAGATCATATAGGGCGATAGCGACAGACATAGAAACTGAACTAAATTTAAAGATTACTCCTATGAAGGAAAGGAAAAAATTATTTAAGCGATAACAACTAAATACTTACATTAAATTTAAATCATATTAATTTAATTACTATAATTACGTTAAGGTAAGAATATATTTAAATATAATACATACACAAAATAAGAATGCCTCCAAATAATTTGACATTTTATATTTATTAAGATCTAGTAAACTTTTGTATCAATTTCTTTTCCTAGTAATAAACCATAGAGTTTCCTCGAGAAAATTAAAGAAAGAATAATAAAATTACATAAATTAAAAAGGGCCCAACCGGGTTCGAACCGGTGACCTCTTGATCTGCAGTCAAATGCTCTACCACTGAGCTATGGACCCTTTGATGTTAAATGCAACTATAATATTATAGATAACCAAACAACTATAAAAAAAAATTGTTGTTTGTTGCATTTAAGTATATGCTTAGACTAGATACGTTTATCATTTTCTCCGTTTCGATTTATATGACACAATAGAAATTTTGAAAGTCAACGAAGTTTTTTTTAATTGAAAATTCTTTATGTATGTGAATTTTAAATATTTAAAGTTATTAATAATTATGATTTATAGTAATTTTTATGTAGTTTTTAAATATGTAATGTTCGTTTCAAAAAATCTTAAAGCTTCTAAATTTGCATCAAAATTTAGAATTTTAGAATCTCAAAATTCTAATAGTTCCATATAAATTTGGATACGAGTGCCTACAACATTCTTTCCCCCCTCCTATTCAAAACATAAATATCTTGTGAGTTTAGTTAAAGCCATAGTTTTGTTTACAAATGCAATATAATTCAATAACTTTAACTTAAATTTTATTTTTATATTATGTATAAATTATTTATTTAGAATTCAATAAGTTATGCCTTACTTGTAAACTCATAGTTTATTAAAATTCAGAGTTAATAAAATTTAAAATTTTAATTTCTTACGTGTAACATGACACTTGAATACCCAGCCAACTTCTATACCTACAATAATATATTTTTTATATATACAATAAAAATATCCCTCTTGAAAACTTGTGTTTTATGGGACAATTAAATTCATTTGCCGCCCCACCAATTTCCCACTTTTTCAGGAATAATAATAATATCATGCATCATCTATTGGAAGTAGGTGTCTGATTGTCGTTTGATACGAGGGATAAAAATTAAAATAATTTTATTTATTTTATTTCGCGTATCAAAGATGCATTCAGCAAATTGAATTTAGAGGCAGATATTGCATTTTGATAATGACACATTCAGTTCAGTATTTCTATATACGGAGACATAAATTGATGTACAAAGTTAGTTAAATTGTAATTGAGAAAAGTAAAGATAAATAAATTGAAATGGTGAATATTTTTTCTAAAATATTGGGTATAATGAGGGCCGAGACTCTGCCTTTACTCCCTTCCCACGCCACCCTAGTCATGTGATGTTAAAGTTTTAAATATAATAATACTAGTAATATTTTTTTCTAAAGACACAACTCTGAGATAAATATATAAGCTACTTTAGTGCAAGGGTTTACTCTCTCCGTCTTAATTTATGTTTATTTTATATTTAATATCAATCTTAATTTATGTGGCATTTTTAAAATTTTGAGATTCATTAAAATAAATTAGTCTATTTTTAATTATAATTTTTTTATATATTTTAAAAATATTTTAAATTGTCATTTATTGTGATGTATAGTACTTTTTACGTAGTTTACAAATATATAAATTTTATTTTAAAAAAATTAAATATTTTATATGCAAAAATTCTTAGTCAAACTAAAACTATTTAACTCTTAAAAACAAAAAATATCACATAAATTGAAACAAAAAAAGTAATAACTTAACTCTATTTTTTTATTTTATTTATCGTGAAATAATTTATAGCATATATATAAATAATATAATTTACTTTTTATAATTTTTTTGAAACATCATATCTTAAATATCATACTTAATTTAACATGTTTCACATATCACATTGACTCTATCATGCATGACCTTAAATTCGCACCGCTTGCTATCCCTCGGAGGAATTATGTTCCTTTCGTAGGTTCGTATCAATTTATATGATTTATGATTATTATTTTTTAAGTGAGTCTGGAGATTGACATATTTTTATATTAATTAATAATTTAATTTTTAAAAATATTTAAAAAAATTTCAATAAAATAATTTATAGTCACACAAATTTCTACCGTACTATAAGAAAATGACGTTGGAGTCATAAATGTGGCGTGGAGA